TTTTTGAGACAGGGTCTCCCTGTAGCCCCAGCTGTCCTGGAACTCACTATGTAGACCAGGCTGGCCTTGAACTCACAGAAATCCACCTGCCTCTGCCTCCCGAGTGCTGAGATTAAAGGTATGTGCCACTACACCTGATCTTTAAATGCCCTTTTAAAAAGAGTTTTCTAACATTTTATTTATCAATCATTGTGTGTGCACACCCTTCATAGCACATATGTGGAAGTCAAAGGATAGCTTGTGGGAGTCCATTCTTTTCTTCAACTCTCTGGGTTCTAGGAATCAACCTCAAGTCATCAAGCTTGGCAGCAAGCGCCTTTACCCACTGAGCTATCTTGCTGGTCCTCAAATGCCGTTTCAAGTTTAGAAATAAGTAGTGGTGTTTTTAATAGAACTATGTATAAAAAAATTTTTTTTTCATTTTTTTACAGACAGGAAAACTAATTTTGAAACCTAGGCCTCATGTTCAATGACAGTCTGCACTCATTGTTAGGGGACCTGAAACAGTTTTTCTTCCAAGAAGTGATACAACAAAAAGCCATAGAGGATTCCTTTGGGAGCTGGATAAGTGGAGCTGCGGTAGCAGCTGACAAGAAGTGTGCAATAGTCCCCAGACTGTTGTGATGATGATGGCTGACCTCTCAGTGCTTCTCTACCTGTGATTACCTGTGCTCAGTATTAGTGTCACTTTAGTACTTCAGCTCCTGCAAAGATTTTTGCAGCTGAAGTGTGTATGTATGTTACTAAGTTAAACCTAGAAACCAAACCACATTCAGTTTTTATAATGTATTTTTGCAAACTACTGTAAATAGCAAATCAATGCCAATGTAAAACCAAGAGGAAAATGTGTGGACTCTGTTTTCCTGCACCAGTATTTCAGGAACATCTGCTTGACATCCCTACAGCTCCTTAAAACTGGCTATTGTGTGTGCCTTTCATTCTTAACCCCTCTTTTTGTTGCACTGCAGGAAAAATATCAAATTCCACTTCAACTGAGCAGAACTCATCTCCATTATGTTGTAAGAAATTGTAGATGTTTCGACAAACAAGTTTTGTTAAATTCAGTACTGAATTCCAGAAACTATTGTGGTTATATTTTTCAGTTCATTGTTTTCATTTAACACTAAATTACTTTATATGTTTTTTAAGAATTAAAAAAAAGCCCAAAGTCTTCTGATTCTAAAAGTTTAAATTATGTATTGTCTGAGAATTTGACGGTCATCATTTTAGGTAATTGGATTTTACGCTGTGGTAGACATGTCATTACACTAGTCCTGCCCTGGTGTAGCTGATGGTTCCAGTCCATCGCCACTAACTTGAGAGCCATGCCACAAACTAAAGTCTGCAGTACTCACTGTTAAGGAGTGTTAATGACATACTGTGTATGTGTAACAGCCATCTGTACTATAGTAGCCCTGAAAATTAAACTATTGGGATTCTTGTAAATATTTTAAAGTACTGGAGGTGCCTTTTAACCTGTTTATTAGATTTTTGAAAAGGTTTAAATTATTTCATGAGAAATGTTTTAAATTTCATCTAACATGAAGCTGAAATTTGAATAATAGGACAAAAACTTTTTAATAAAGCTGCCATTTAACTTGCCTGATTTCATCTTGGCTTTCATGTGTATAAAACTGCATTCTTTTAACTGCAGCAATAAAACCCGCAGCTGCTGAGAAGTCTTAAGAGGATGTTGTATGTTCTGCTTTTATATTCTGTAAATTTTGTAGGTAAATATGTGCATAAGAATAAATACTTTATATATAACTAGTGCTTTTTGGTTTGGTTTATTATTTCTCTAGTAAAGAAGTATCAGATACAGGCTAATTCTATATTACATAATTTACTTTAACTGTGTCCAGTAGACTTCATGTTAGGTAACAGTTGCAGGTACCCCAGTTGATTAGACAGCTTTTAAAAAAAAATTGTTTGTACTAGTGTTTTGATTGCCAGTATGTTTATTAGTGTATGTGTAGTGCTCATGAAGATGACAGAGTCACCATGTAGGTGCTGGGAGTCAAACCCTGGTCCTCTGGAAGAACAGCAAGTGCTCTTATCCCCTGAGCCACGTCTCCAGCCCCTAGACTGATAGCTTTTTTTTTTTTTTTTTTTTTTTTTTTTTTTTTTTTTTGTCTTTTTGAGACAGGAGTCTCCCTATAGCCCCAGCTGACCTGGAACTCACTATGTAGACCAGGCGGGCCTCAATCTCACAGAGATCCACCTGCCTCTGCCTCCCAGGTGCTGGGATTAAAGGCATGTGCCACCACGCCCAGCTTGACAGTTTTTAATATGTCTTATTCCTTATAGTCTAATAATATGTGGCTCTTAATCAGGAAATGCAGGTTTTGTCATGTTGTGCTTTATGAACTTAGATTATTTCCTCCAAGAGTGTAAAGCTAAAGAGGGATATTATAGTTCTTAATTTTTTGGGGGGGGGAGTACTCCTTTATTTAATAAAGGCCTGAATTTTCTCCCCTAAAAGAATTATGTCAATTGGCATGCACTTGGGTTCCCAATACCAGACCACTTGGAATCTACTGACTCCAAGAAGCTTTCTGGTACAGTTCTAGACATTTGGCCTCAGTTTCCAGAATCCCTTTGCTGTGACTGAGTTGGCTCAAGGCCCTTGGTGCCTTGCTTTCTTGTCACCATTTCCTTCCTCTCAAACTTCTATACTGTTGAGTCCACTCTTGTGACTATAGATGAGTAAAAAACATTGACAGGTTTGCAAAGTGATGTTATTTATGGTCTCCACAACTTAGTTCAAAAGTCATCAGGATATTGTGGTTAAGAATGTAGATTTCTGGGGGCTGGAGAGGTGGCTCAGTGGTTAACAGTGGTTAATAGCACTGGCTACTCTTGCAGTGGACCAAGGGTTTGGTTCCTAGCACCCACATATGATTGTTAGCTAACAATCATAACTCCAGTTCCAGGGGATACAATAGCCTCTTCTGGCCTCTGGTCACTGCACACATGTGCACTACATACATTCAGGTAAAACAGTCGTACATATAAAAATAAAGTTTTTAAAAAATATTAGGCCTGACATGGAGGCGCATGCCTTTAATCCCAGCACTCAGGAGGCAGAGGCAGGTGGATCTCTTGAGTTTAAGGCCAGCCTGGTCTACATAGTGAGTTCCAGGACAGCTGGGGCTACAGGGAGACCCTGTCTCAAAAAGAGCAAAAAAAAAATTTATGTGCACAAGTATATTGCCTGCATGTAAGTGAGTGGCACCTGTGTTGTGAAATGCCACGGAGGTCAGATGAGGGCTTCGGATTCCCCTGGAACTGGAGTTAAGGACAGTTCACAGCTACCATGTATCGAACCCAGGTCCTCTGCAAGAGCAGTCAGTGCTCTTAACCCCTGAGCCATCTCTCTAGACTGTTTTAAAAAAAAAATTTTTTTTAAAGCTGAAAGAAAAGTTGAAAAAAAAAAAAAAAAAAGGCCAGATGTGGTGGCACATGCCTTTAATTGCAGATGACCCAGGTTTGAGTCCCAGTACCTACCTGGTAGCTAACAACCATCCATAATTCCAGTTCCAGGGGCTCTGATGCTTTCTTAATGTCCTCAGGCATTGCATGACATGGTTGTATTTACACACATACACACATATATATAATATATATGTCTAAGGAAGAATATATAAGTCTAAGGAAGAATTCCTGCCTTCAGAACTTGCCGAGGAAATGCAGATCAGGAGTCAAGCAGTTGCCAGGTGGTTTAAGTGGTCTGATGGGTAAACGTAGGATGCTGTTCAAGCCCAGGAGAAGCAGATGTGGTCAGACAGGTTTTCCTAAAGAACATCAACAAACATCTTGTGTGTTGAGGGCAGAAGGGGTAGGTTTGGAGGAAAGTAGGGAAAAATAAGAACTCAGCATTTTATTATAGGATAATGGAAAGTCTTCCAACTGATTGCAATTGAGGAAGTGACTTAAATGGAACCCAGGGCCTTGGACATGCTAGACATAAGAGATGACTGAAAGGACATGAGCTATTTGTCCAGATGAGGTGTGGAATCCTGAACAAGAGGGTCAGGTCATGGAATCAGAGAAGTGAGAAGGATTAGAAATCAGGTGAGTATGGGACTGGAGAGATGGCTCAGCAGTTAAGAGCACTAACTGCTCTTGTAGAGGACCCAGGTTCGATTCCCAGCACTCACATGGTGGCTACGAAGCGTTCTTAACTCCAGTTCCGGGGAATCTGAAGCCCTCTTCTGACCTCTGCGGCATTGCAGGACATGGGTGCACTCACATGCATGCAAGCAATACACTCATACACATTAAAAAAAAGAAAAAGAAAAAAAGATAAGAGTTTGCTGTGCACAGAAGAGGGAGTAGGGAGCTTCTTCACAGCCCAGCATCACTTTTCTGTCCTAGAGTAATGAGGGTTCCATCATTACCATTGTATCGCCTCTTCTAAAAAAATTTTTAAAGTTATTTTATGTGTATGAGTGCTTTGCATGCATATACTTAAGTGTACCACAAGCATACAATGCCTGTGGAGGCCAGAAGAGGGCATCAGATCCCCTGGAACTGGAGTTGCAGATGGTTAGCCTCCATGTGGGTCCTGGAACCCAAATTCAGGTCCTCTGGAAGAGCAGCCAGTGCTCTTAACTGCTGACCCACCTCTCCAGCCCCTCTATCATCTCTTCTTAAAGACTGTTCATGCTTTAGGAGACCCTGCAACAAAGAAACCTGTCTCTGTGGTTTCACAAAGATCTGTTAACATGCACTGTGAATCTAGTGCTTGACATGGCTTCCGTATGCCCATCTACTTTTTTTTTTAATTTTATTGAGACAGGGTCTCCCGGTAGCCCCAGCTGACCTGGAACTCACTACGTAGACCAGGCTGGCCTCGATCACACAGAGATCCACCTGCCTCTGCCTCTCTAGTGCTGGGATTAAAAGCGTGCCTCACCACATCTGGCTTTTTCCATCTTTTTAAAAAAATATTACACTTATTTGTGTGTATGTGTGCACATATGTGCCATGGCATCCATATGGAGTTCAAGGGCAACTTGCTGGAGTTAACTTTCTTCCATGTGGGTCTCAGGGAGCAAACTCAGGTCATCAGGCTTGGTAGCAAGCACCTATACCTCCTGAGCCATCTAACCAGCCCCCTTCTACTTTTTGAGCACCCTACCGTGCTGACTAGATTTGTCAATTTGAATAATAAACTAGAGTCACCTGGGAAGAAGGAACCTGGGTTGAGAAATTTCCTCCATTAGAATGACCTCTAGTTATACCTGTGGGGGCATTTTTTGGATTACAATTGATGTAGGAGGGCCCAGTCCACTGTGGGTGGTGCCTATGAAGAAGTGACTCATGTTCACTAATTAATGGGGTGGGGACAGAGGCTTGTGCAAATGCCCAGGCCCTAAAGAGCATCACTAAACAGCAGGATGCAGAAGTGGAGTGAGATGAGGCAGCCCAGCTGAGAGTTTTTTTTTTTAAGTGTATGAGTGTTTCACCAGCATGTATGTTAAGTGCACTGTGTTGTGCAATGCCCATAAAGGCCAGAAGAGGCGGTAGGATCCCCTGGAACTGGAGTTATGGATGGTTGTTAGCCACCAGGTTGGTGTTGGGAACTAAACGCAGGTCCTCTGGAAGAGCAGCCAATATTCTTAACTGTTGAGCCATCTCTCCAGGCCTACCCCCTCCTCAGCTGAGATTTTGATAAATGCCCTAAGAGAAAAGGAAGTTATTGAAAGGTTTTGAGCATGAGAGTGACTATAACAAGAATTGTGGCAGGACAGTTTGAAAAGATCACAAAGCTGCTCTTATGGATAGCATGCTGGGCAGGTGGACATGAAGAAACCACAGGCCATGTGGTCGAGACAAAGACTACCTTCAGATTGTGGATGCAGCAGGACGTCTGTGTCCAGATAAGAGACCAAGGAAATAAAACACACTTGGTGGCTCCATGGTTTTTTTGAGTCAGGCATGGTGGTGCTTGACTTTAATCCCAGCACTCAGAAGGCCTAGAGGCAGGTGGAGCTCTATGAGATCGAGGCCAGCCTGGTCTACCCAGTGAGTTCCAGGCCAGCTGTGGTACAAGGAGATCCTGTCTCAAAAAGTATCAAGAAAAGGCAAAAAAAGGGGGCTTTGACACACGTGTGCGAGAGCTGTATTTTATAACTCTGTGATTATTACCTAATAGTTCCTAAATATGACAAAGTAATCAATGTGCGCTCCCTGGGTGGAGAGTCAACTCCTGGCGGAGCTCCTATGAGATGGAATTTGTGTTTTGTACAGTAGACTTAGGTCATGCATTTACAGATGAGTCCAGGGCTCCGCCCCCTAGAAGGGCTGGTCCCGCCCACTCAGCCTTGTACGCATGCGTACTCCCCGCGCCAGCGCCGTCCTCGCAGCTGACGTGCAGTGCGCAAGCGCAGAGCTTTTCCATGTGTGCTCGGCCATCAGCCGGGGCCCAACTGAACCTAGTCGCCTCAGAGACGAGCATTTGTCAGCGGCCCGGCAACACCGTCACCTGCGGCGGCCCTCAGCTCTCGCTCTGTTCCCGCAGCCCCTGTCACCATGGGTAAGAGCCGGACGAAGCGCTTCAAACGGCCTCAGTTCTCCCCTACCGGCAGCTGTCAGGCTGAGGCAGCGGCCGTGGCGAACGGGACTGGCGAGGAGGATGACGGGCCCGCGGCGGAGCTGCTGGAGAAGGTGGGGCAGTGGCTCTGCGGGCCCGCGGCCGGCGCGGGCGGGGGGCGGGGGGCAAATCCGCACCGGGTGTGGCGCGTGCGCACTGCGTCTCTCTGACATCTTGCTTTCGCAGCTCCAGCACCCGAGCCCCGAGGTCCGCGAGTGCGCCTGCGCGGGACTGGCCCGGCTGGTGCAGCAGCGGCCCGCACTTCCCGGCCTGGCGCGCCGGGATGCGGTGCGCCGGCTCGGGCCGCTACTGCTGGACCCCAGTCTGGCGGTCAGGGAGACGGCGGCCGGCGCGCTGAGGTGAGCCGGGACGGGCATCGGGGTGGGGTCCCCCGCCAGCGCCATCTGTGCGCCAGCACACCTCCCCGTTCCATCCTCTACTCCTGGAGGGAGAAGAGCCTCCCTGGGGTCTCACGTCTGCAGCGCTGGCGTTGTGAGCGCAGGTTGGAGAGGACCCGGGACCCACAACCATTCACATTCCTATGTGCTCCTCCTAAGAACCCGCCCCAGGGTCCCTGATTGCGTGGAGTTTTCCAGTCTGTTGCTCAGGAATCCTCTAAATATAGACAATTTTGAGCTGGCAGGATGCTGAGCCAGATAGTAGAGATCCCTGTCTTTGCCGGAGCTCCCTTGATGTAGCGTCTGGAAACTAGTGAGAAGACCCAACAGCGTTAGTGAGAAATGCCGTCGTGAATGAGAGGGTGCATTGTGGGTGGCAAGTTTCAATTGGATGTCATGGGAAAATGGAGAGAGGAGTGTTCTCCACAGGAGGAATGGCAGTAGCAGAGAAGGGAAGCCACACAGATCGGCAGTCAACACAACAGTTAGTGTGGCTGAAGAGAGTAGGTGAGGTGTGAGCGCCAGGTGTAAGATGGTATAGGACCAAAGTATTCTGAAAGGGTGTGATGTAATCCACCTTTTGAAAAAGCCACTCTGATGGCTGTGCAGAGAATGAACTGTAGAGGGGGCAAGAGAGGTCAGGAGTAGAAGTTAATATTTGTACTTTTTTTTTTTGGTCTTTTTGAGACAGGGTCTCCCTGTAGTCCCAGATGACCTGGAACTCACTATGTAGACCACGGTGGCCTTGAACTCACAGAGATCCTCCTGGCTCTGCCTCCGCAGTGCTGGGATAAAAGGCGTGCACCACCATACCTGCTTTAATATTTCTACTCTTACAGCTTTGTGTGTGAATCTGAATAGATGCCTGCTGTATGCCAGGCAGTGGGCTAGGCTCGAGGAATGGTGTAGTGAGGAATACTGACATAATTTCTCTTCATAGTGAATCTTAAAGTCTATTGAGAAAGCATTAATCATAGAAACGATATATGTATAATTACAATCATTAGTAATTACAGAGAATGTTATGGAAGGGTATATTTGGAGTCCCAGGAAGCAAACCCTGAGTTTGACGTCAGATCTTTGGGATGAGTGGAGGATAAGTGGATGTCCTTACTCCTGAGGAGGATGTAGTGTGTGAGAAGCTGTACTCCGCCCTTCAGATGTAGACAAATCTGAGCTTGTGGCTCCTTTATGCTCAGAAGGCAAGCAGTGTTTGTCTAGTTCGAATTGAGTTTAGCCAGAATCACTTCAGAGCGTGTCGTTTTTAGTGTCCTCACCTTCCAAGCTTTGCAGTTTTTATTCCAAGAAATGGTTTTGTTACAGAGTTTGAAACCACCATCAAAAGACCACTACACAGTTCAAGTTTTAACTGGTCAGATTTATTAAGGATATAGCCATCCGTGGTCCCTTAGTCAGATTCAGTACCCACAGCCCTGAGGGGAGGGTGAAATTAGCTTATAAAGGCAAAAACCACAAGAATTTCTTCACACATGAGTAATACCAGGTGGTTCTGAATAGGGTCAGGACGGCCCAAGTTAGCAGGTAAGCAAACTAGAGAAGCCAAAACAAGCATTTGTTAGTCCTTTTCTTAACAAATGTATAGAGACCTTAACAGTAAGGAACTTTCTGATTATTATTATTATTATTTCAGCATTTACCAAGAAAGGCAGGATACTGTTTTAGTTAGTTCTCTTGACTAGGGAAGAAGCACAGCTGCAGGTCTAAGAGGTGACACTTTCTGCGGTCAGCTACTTCAAAGAAAAACACTCTTATAAAGGAAAGCAACTAAGTTCAGACCTGACCTTGAAGCTGGCAGTTTTTCTAGTTTTTGAAGTTTAAAGTGGCTGTTTTATACAAAATGAAGAAAACAAAGTTACTTTGGCTATTACAATTTGGGGGGCTCCATTCCATTACTGTTCTTTTTTTTTTTGTGTGTGTGTGTGTGTGTGTGTGTATGTGTGTGTGTCTTTTTGAGACAGGGTCTCCCTGGAGCCCCAGCTGTCCTGCAATTCACTATAAACGAGGCTGGCCTTGAACTCACAAAGATCCTCCTGCCTCTGCCTCCCAAATGCTGGGATTAAAGGCGTGCATCACCACTCCTGGCCTATTACTGTTCTTTCTCACAGAGTGTGCAGTGTCCACGGTAAGTAGGGGCATGCCTACTGCCTCATGTCTGCTATTCTTGTACTGTCTCAGACCTCAGAACTAAGATACATTTGCTTGCGTCTTGTGGGCTAAGGACTTAGACTGTTGGAAATCTGTGGGTTGATTCTCCAGCATATTGCAGAAATAGTTTTCTCTGGGAAACCTTAAGTGTGGTTAAACATACAAATAAATTTGAGAGCTTAGTAGTATTTTGTAACACGTGACTTAAAAGTTTGATGTGTTTTAAATTTTTTATTAGAAACCTTAGTGCATGTGGAGGTTTTGAAGTTTGTGATGACATGGTGGCGAAGGACATCATGACCCCACTGGTGGCACTACTGAGAGAGGTATGTGGTGTGTAGCATGTCCTGAGTGGCAGCTTTGCAGTGGAGCTTGTAAGAGACAAGTTTTTTGAGTGCTTTGGTGTCAGATGTCATGTCTTAAGACATTCTATGGGAATTTCTTTTCTTGGAAAACTGAAGTGTACTGTCATCACTGATACCAATCTTTGTTATTTTGTTCCTATACTTTTATAATAATTGGAAAAGGTCTTTCTAAAATTCTGTAGCCTTACTCCTTTAGACTTTAAACTTCGTATAATAAAAGTAAATTCACAGGCCAGGTGTAGTGGTGCATGCCTTTAATCCCAGCACTCGGGAGGCAGAGGCAGGTAGACCTCTGTGAGTTCAAGGCCAGCCGGGTCTACATAGTGAGTTCCAGGACAGCTGGGGCTGCAGGGAGACCCTGTCTCAAAAAAGACCAAAGGGGGGAAAAAAAAGTAAATTCATATTTATTGTTTATGTGCATATTTAATTTAATCTTTACAGCAATCCTATGAGGCTGGTTTTCTTTTTTTTTTCTTGTTCTTGTTTTTTGTGGTGCTGGGTATTCTAGGCAAGTGTTCTATCACTGAGTAGATCCTGAGTCCAAGGCAGGTGTTTTTCCCGTTTTGACAGAGCCAAGACACAGACATTGTGAACTTAGGTTATGTTTCATCTTTGCTTTGTGTTTTAACATCACATCATTCTTTTTCTTTTTCTTTTTTTTTTTTTTTTTTTTGGTCTTTTTGAGACAGGTCTCCTCCCTGTAGCCCCAGCTGTCCTGGAACTCACTATGTAGACCAGGCTGACCTTGAATTCACAGAGATCCGCCTGTCTCTGCCTCCCGAGTGCTGGGCTAAAAGGCATGCGCCACCACGCCCAGCATATCACATCATTCTCATGTGATGTAGCTCATTGGTTGGAACTTATTTCTGATTTTGACAGCTTAGCATGTAAAGGTTATTACTGCAGAACCTCCTATACAACAGAGCAGTCTCCCCTACAAGCCCAAGACACAAGCTCTGTTTTAGAGAGTGTCAGGGATTGTACTAGGAGGCAGTACTGTGCCTACAGCTGGTTAAGAGTACCAGTTTTAGCTGGGTGGTACATGCCCTTAATTTCAGCATTTAGGAGGTAGAGGCAGGCCCCATCTATGTAGTGAGATCCAACCAGGGCCACATACTGAGACCCTGTAGCTGCTTCCCCTCTCTCCCAGCCCCTGAAGAAAGAACACCAGCTTTGAAGCTACAATGCCAGCAGCTAACGCCTAGCTTCAACATCTACTAAGCTGTATCTTCAGCAGCCTCTCTACCTCAGTGTCCTGCTTAAATTAGGAGATGAAGGTTAATAGTTGACCTTCCTTAGTTTGTTCTGAGGATTAAAATACTTAATATATGTAACATGCTTAGAAGAGTGCCTTGGCGTTACTAAACAGATACTAGCTCTTGTATTTCTTTGCCTTTCTTATTTTTTATCACATCAGGGAAAATACTTTGTATCGATTTTCTGCTTTCATGTAAAATGTGAGATACTTTGCACCATGACCTGGGGATCTTTCTTGTCTGTATTTCTAACCAAAGGGATGTGTGGTTTTGAGACTTGTACTCATTAGATAGGCTTACTAACTATAATTTCTGATATTTAGCTTTTGTGATTCTTCACTATCATTAACTTTTTTATTTAATTATCTTTTGAACCAGGGTACTAATCATGATGCTTGGTTTCAGTGTAGTGCTGGACTAGATTCAAATGATTTGTCACCACAAGAGAGGAAAGATCAGGACAGAGACTCTGTTGAGAACGTAGCCAATGAGGCCGTGAACGTGCTGTGGAATATATGGTAAGGTGCTTTCCAAGTGTAGCCTCTCAGGCTGCTGATCTTTCTATTAAATTGTAGGGACTTCTCCCTGGGTGCATGATGCTGATACTTAATAGGAAGTAGTAGTAAGTGCCTTGTGATTGATTCCCTTACTCAGCCAAGTATGTACCTGCTTTGGTGTCTAGAATAAGAAAGGACTGCAGACATTGACTGGTACATCCATCCTCTTACTTGACAGTGATCGCTTGAATATGAAGTAGATACCCAGGAATTCTCTTGAACCCAGTAGAAATAAGGTTACTTTCCAATCCATGGTGCTGACACTGGTGGGCATGAAATGGACCTGTTTCTGGGAATGGAAGTAGCTAGAAACAAACCTGGATTTACTTTTCTGCCCCAGTTTATGTCCATAATTGTAGGAGAATGATAGTTCCTTCTTTTCAGTTGGCAGTAATTACAATACTGATCTAAAAGCAGTATTTCTTAGAATGCAAAATTAAGTTGGATCTTGAAAAGCTGCCTATATATCAGTCTAACTTGCCTGTAATTTCACCTTAAACTAGTGGATACATTCAATTGCACCAGAAATATTGGCAAAATAAGATAGCTTTTTTTCCCTTAAAAAAATGTTTAGTCGGGTGTGGTGGTGCACACCTTTAATCCCAGCACTCGGGAGGCAGAGGCAGGTGGATCTCTGTGAGTTCAAGGCCAGCCTGGTCTGCATAGTGAGTTCCAGGACAGCTGGGCCTACAGAGAGATACTGTCTCAAAAAGACCAAAAAAAAAAAAAAAATTAAGTTTAGCCAGGCGTGGCGGCACACACCTTTAGTCCCAGCACACAGGAGGCAGAGGCAGGTGGATCTCTGAATTCGAGACCATCCTGGTCTACATAGTGAGTTTCAGGCCAGCTGAGGCTACAGGGAGACCCTGTCTCAAAAAGACACCCCCCCCCAAAAGTTAAGTTTTATTTATAGATTTGGAAAGTACTCACAGAGGCCGGAAGCATCAGCTCCCTTGCACCTGGAGTTATAGGAGTTTGTGAGCTGCCTGATGTGGGTGCTGGCAACCAAACTCAGGTCCTCTACCAGAACAGGAGGGGCTCTTAACTGCTGACCATTTCTCCAGCCCCTTTCCTTTTTCTTGCTTGCTTGCTTCTTCTTTTTTTTTTAAAGATAGAGTCTTACTATGTAACCATGGCTGACTTTGAACTTATGATCTTCTTACTTTGGTCCCCTGACTGCTAGAATTATAGACTGGCTACAGGAAATGGTACTTGAGCACACTAATGGGTGTTTTTCTGTACATCATAAACCTTCCTTTATTTGGTATAATTTTGTTGTTGTTTGGTGCTAGGGACTGAACCCAGAGCCTCATGCCTGCTAAGCACATGCTCTCCCACTGTAGCTCATCCCCAGCCCCTAGAAGATTGTTGAGCTGAAATTTTTTTGTTTGCTTTTTTGAGACAGAGTCTCATTTAACCCAAGTTAGCCTAGAACTTGCTATGTAGCTAAAAGATGACCTTGAACTCCTAATCCTTTTGCTTCTAGCTCCCACATGCTGACTTGCAGGTATAGGTTGAACTGGGTTGAACTGGTAATTTTTAAGAAGAATTTCTTTGAAAAGAGCCTGATAAATTCCAGAGTAACTTTTCTGTCCTGAATGCCTATGAGTCCTATCTTTACCACGTACAGTTATCATAGCTCTTAGTATTTTGTTTTACAGTTTGTGCTTCAAATTGCCTTTACTAACACGTGTCTGTCTTCTTGGCTGTGCTTCAGTACTGAAATAGATAGCTGACAATATTTTTCCTTGGATAACGTACTTAATAATATAGTCAGCTTGTTAACTCTTATTACTGTGTTATGTGTGTATATGGTTATTATTGAGATTTTATTCTCTGGAAACATGAATAAACTTAGTATAATTTGTTCTTTTACCATGTCTTTAGTGTGTATACTTATTAGTAATATTAATAGCAATCTAACTCTTTATAGTAGTATGACCAGAATTAATTACTTATTAGAGAAATTTCTCTTCATTTTGCAAATTATGCTTTATGAAATTATAATTGTAATCCAGAGCAAGTAAAATGTAATTTCCTATTAAAACTGATGCTTTCTATGTGATGGAGGCCCTTTGTCTTTACTTGAACTAATTATTGTGGTGTGGTAGAAGGAAAAGCCTGGACCCAAGGAACTGACCTGGTTCCACCACCCACAGGATGTGTGACTTCAGATGGATCACTTTACCCTTTGGGCCTTGCATTTTCTGAAATCTGTAAAATGGGGAGTTGAATGAAATGATTTCTGAGGTCTCCTCTAGTTCTAACCTTCTGTAAGGAAACATCATGGTGAAGAGATTGACTAAAGAGCCCACTGTGATGGAAGTGAAAATGTAGACCAGGCTGGATGTCATGTACAATGAATAAGAATGTCCATCTATAAGTGGGGGGTGTTTGACTTATATTCTTTGGTTTTATAAAGCATAAATAATTTTTTAATAGATTTTTGTGGTTGGTTTCTTAATGTTAAAATGTGACTAGTAAAACTTTTTTTTCCCCTTCAATTTTAGTGAATGCAGTAGTAGAGCAGTATCTATATTCAACAAAGAAGGGTGTTTGGAGATTGTATTAAAGTACTTACATAGGTTTTCCACCAGTGTTGACCTGGCTGTTTCTGTAGGTAAGTGAAGAAAGTGCTGATTTGTTATGCATGTGTTGCCGTTCAGGCACAGTGTGTTTATTGTGTAGCAATGATCACTGTCTTTTTTTTTTTTTTTTTTTTTTTTTTTTTTTTTTTTGTACTTTTTTTGAGACAGGGTCTCCCCGTAGCCCCCACTGACCTGGAACTCACTATGTAGACCAGGCTGGCCTTGAACTCAGAGATCTGCCTACCTCTGCCTCTAGAGTGCTGGGATTAAAGGGTGCATGCCACCATGCACGCCCGGCATGATTGCTGTCTTATTGTAGATAAATGTATAGTGGAATTCCCAGGTCCATGAGCCAAGGATAATTGTAATTCAGCCTTACTTAAGTGCCTTTTACCACTCTCTCTTTCTCTGACAGCCTAAGAATCCAAAGAAAACTGATAACCCCCTTTTTTGGAGGGAAGAAGGGAGGGAGGGAGAGAGGGAGGGAGGAAGAGGGGAAGAGAGAGAGAGAGAGAGAAAACGAGAACTTCCAGTTAGGCCTAGGTCCCTTTCATGGACTTGGGGGACACAGAGTCCAGCAGTTGCCTTGGCTGCCCACCTTCTTTATGTTGGGTTTGAGTGTCATTGAGGACCCCCAGCTCAGCAGGGAAAGAGGTAGAAACCAGAGGGTAGGCAGCTCAGCAGAATTCTGGGTGCAAGCTGAGAAATAACTTGATGAAATGGTTCCTTTTCTGTCTGTCATGCCAGGCATCCAGCTCTCCTTTAATTATGCATTTTTCCCAGAAAGGAAGAAACATATTCCTTTTATCAATGCTTTTCCTAGTTTTAGTAGATAATTTTATTATTATAATTCTTAGAGCTTTATTTTACTTCTCTTTATGTGAATATGTGTATGCCCTGTGTATCAGATCCCCTGGAGCTGGAGTTGCAGATGGTTGTGAGCCACCACGTGGATGCTGGCAACTGAACTCGGGTCCCCCGGAAGAACAGCAAGTGCTCTTAACCACTGAGCCATCTTCCTAAGATCAGAAAAGGGGAACAAAAATAAAATAATACTAGGAAAAATTTAAAAATCAGTTTCTAAAATGGAACCTGTGGGGACAGCGTTGTGAATACGTGGGAATTTCAGAAACAGTTCAGCATTTTAGGAATTTGGCAGGTGTCTTAAGCTTGAATGGTTTTAAAAGAATTTCAGAGATGCGGGTTCATAGCTTTTAAAGGAAAACCTGGGGAATGCTGGAGAGATGGCTCAGTGGTGAAGAGTTTGCACTGCTCTTGCAGAAGACCTGAGTTCATTTCCCATCTCTCTTGTCCAGTGACTCACAGCTGCCTGTAACTTCCAGGTAATTTAACACCCTCTTCTGACACCTAGAAACCTTCACTGAATGTATATATCCTCCCCATACACAATTAAAAATAACCTTTTTTAAAAAGGTAAAACAAGAAAGAAATAATGCTTAAAAGAAAAAAGAAGGGCTGGAGAGATGGTTCAGTAGTGAAGAGCACTGACTGTTCTTACAGAAGACCTGGGTTTGAATCCCAGCACCCACATGGCAGCTAAGAACTGTTGGTAACTCCAGTTCCAGGGGTCCAATGCCCTCTTCTGACCTTTGTGGGCATTGCATGACATGGGTGTGCTTGCACACATGCAGGTGATACATGCATACACATAAATAAAAATAAAATATTTTTTAAAAAAAGAAAGAAAAAAAAAAAAGGGCCACTATGTTTGATGGCTCAGCAGGTAAGGGCATTTGCTGTGCAGGCCTCACAACCTGATTTTGATCCCAGGAACCAATACAGTTGAAGGAGAAACTGACTGTCAAGTTGCCCTCTGACCTCTACACCTGTGCTGTGGCATGCACATACACACATGCATGTGCACATGCACACATAATTTTAAAAAGAAAAATTTCAAAGATCTATCTTCATTTTAGGAGTGTTTGCCTGCATGTGTGTATGTGCATCACATGCATGTAGTGCCCATGGAGACCAGAAGATGGCCTTGGACTCCCCTGGAACTGCAGTTGCAGGAGGTTGTAAGCTGCCATGTGTCTTTTGGGAATCAAACCCAGGTCTTCTGGAAGAGCACTATACACTCTTAACCACTGTGCCATCTCTTCAACCCTGCAGTGGATAGTTTCTTTCTGTGTTTAGCTAGATTTGTAATTTTATAAATAAACATTTTGAAAGTCAAGTTAGGCTTACATAAAATAAAATGTATCAGTAAGGTTCTGTCCTGGCCAATAATAGAGGGTTTTGAACTTATGCTTGTGGAAGCATTCACAGGTCTTGCCTTTTTGTTATTATTGTAGTTGATGTTGTTTTGCTGTGCAGTGTTAGGGATTTAGTTTAGAGCCTTGTTCACACTAGACAAGCACTGTGCCACTGAGCTGTACCCCAGCTCCTTAGTTTGCCATTTTACTAAAGTGAATAGCATTTTCTCTTAACACAATATATTTTCATGTAAGTAGATGTTCTTTTGTGCATATACATGGATTTATATATACATGTATATTGTAAACCAGTTTGAGCGCAGCAGTACCGTGTGTTTTGATTATTTTTATTTTTTGAAAATTTCATAAGCTAATGCTGTATTTTCATCATTTTCACTCCTTTTCTCCCCCCTCCAACTTCTCCCACACATCCCTTACATCCTCTCAGTTTTCAGACCTCCTCTTTGATTATGATGTTTCGGTTAATTTGGATAAGCATAATCTACTTTGAAATTTCTAGATCTGGATTTTTATAGAATCAGTAACATATCTCAAAGGAAACTAATTTGGGTTTGCTCTCCTTTTTGTACTTCAGAGGTGGTACATTCCTTTAATCCCAGCACTCAGGAAGCAGAGGCAGTTGGATCTCTGTGAGGTCAAGTCCAGCCTGCTCTACATAGTGAGCTCCAGGCCACCTGGGGCTATGGGAGACCCTGTCTCATAAAACAAACAAACAAAAAACCACTTTTATGCAATCTTGACTGTTTTATAGTTTTCAGTTAATTTCTGATATGCAGGTTATAGTCCATTATCTTGTTTTAATTCAAGGGAAGAAGACAAATGCTGAATGGAACATGTATCTGGTATTTTACCCTTCTCACAATTTGCTCACATTCTTATGTACAATTACTTTTATTCTTAACTAATTTGAAGGTCATTGCAATTTAAAGAAAGCCAAAATGTCCTAAGGCCTAAAGTTTGTTCTGGCAACAGGACTACTCATTAAGTATTCGTGCATGGACTAGTATTTAGTCACAGGTTTTCTGCTGCTGGCCCTTGATAAAGTGTAGCTAATTCAACATTGCCACAACACTTAAGAGCCTTGTAAGTTATGCTTAATGATAGTGCCCTAAAGAAATAGAAATTAAGCTGGGCATGGTGGCACATGCCTTTAATCCCAGCACTTGGGAGGCAGAGGCAGGAGGATCTCTGAGTTCAAGGCCAGCCTGGTTACGAGTTCTAGGCCAGCTGCGGTTACAGAGAAACCCTGTCTCAAAAAGACCAAAAAAAAAAAATTAAAAATTCAAAGAAGACAAAATTTCTGTAGCACTGATAGTTTGGGAACCATCTTTTGCATGTACCAAGCTTGAGGTAAAGTGTATGTCTAAAAAGAAGTTATAAAAATGCACATTTTGGTGATGTATATACGGTTGTAAATTATCTTAAACAGTTTGTAAATAGTTGATTTTGTCTTGTAGCATATTGTTTACAGACAGTGACAGAAGATAACCCAGAGCTACTAAAATCTTTCGGTGACTCTTCATTGCATGTGTTGGAGTCTGCATTGCTTTGTCCTGTCACCTCTATGGAATACATCTTGTTAAAGACACTGGTAGCAGGTAAGATTTAGCTAAATGACATAATTTACCTTTTGGTAACTTGTAATGGATGGAGCCTGGGGCTGAGGTTCAGTGGTTCCTTCATTTCATCACATCAGACTTTTTTGTGACTATATCTGTTCTGAAAAATTTAGTATTTGAAAAAATATTTTATGTGTATGAGTATATTAACTGCATATATGTAAGTGCACCTGTATCATTTGAAGAGGGCATTGGATTCCCATGGAACTGTAGTTATGGATGATTGTTAGCTGCCATGTGGGTGCTGGGAATCAAACCTGGGTCCTCTGCAAGAGCAGCCAGTGCTCTTAACCATTGAGCCATATCTCCAGTTCCAAATCTTTGTATTTGAACAGAGACCTTTAATTGATCTAGTTTTCCATAGTTATAAAGCCTTTTAAAATAGATTTGTTCCCAGCCAGGCATGGTGGCACACACCTGTAGTCCCAGCACTCAGGAGGCAGAGGCAGGCAGATCTCTGTGAGTTCAAGGCCAGCCTGGTCTACATAGTTCTAGGACAGCTGCGGCCACAGGGAGACCCTGCTTCAAAAAAAAAAAAAAATAAGATGAGATAAAATAAAATAGATTTGTTCCCAGTTTAACAACTGTTATTGTTCAATAAAGAAATGCTGTGCTGATGCATACAGCCACCCGTGCCCGGTTCAGCTCCACTTCTTCACAGATTGGACCCACAGGTGGGACATGATGTTTCTCCTCTGCCTGCTGTTGGCACTCTTTGCATTTGGCCTCATCCACCGAGGCTGTGTCACTACCTGCTTCATCTTCTCCATGGTTGGTCTCTACATCAACAAGCTCTCCTCTACTCTGTACCAGGCAATAGCTCCAGTCCTCACACCAGGCAAAGTCACTGGCAAGGGCAAGAAGAGAAAGTAACCCTGAGTGTCCAATAAAGTTTTTGTAATTCTGTCAAAAAAAAAGAAAAGAAAGAAATGCTGTGCTTAGACTCCTTTATGTTCCAGAGAGTTTGGGAATTGACTCTGGGCATCCAGTACTGGACCATGCATTCTTAGTACCCATCCCTTTTCCCCAGTGTCTCTGAATACAAAAGTAAGAAATGATCTGATGGTCTGTTGAATAGTACACTTTACAGTCCATTTGTAGTTTCCTATTGCCCTTTGGCTTTGCTGAAATCATTAATCAAGAGGGTTTTTTGTTTTTTGTTTTTTTTTTCTCTGTCTTTGAGGCAAGGTCTCCCTGTAGCCACAACTGGCCTAGAACTCACTATGTAGCCTCAATCTCACAGAGATTTTTTTTTTCCTGCCCAGGACCTTGCTCCAGGTGGCCACCAGGCTCACACTCCCTAGCAGCCCAGTGCTCAATCTATTGCTGTACCTTCTGGTCCCTGCTCTACTTCCACCTGGCATTACCACCTTCTAACATATCTGCAGAATTCACTTCTTCTTTATCCCTACTTCCCTCTTCTGCCTCCCACAGCACACCCACCCCAAGATGGGTACACGATGTAAGCGTACAGTGTATAAGACTCTGGAACTAAAGTCGTTTAAGAAGCTCATTCCCCCACTGCAACAGTTGGGTTTCTAACCTTTCCCTATTAACCTCCATTGACTTGGTGCTACCTCGAAAGGAGTGCGCCCTGCACACGGTTCCATTGGTTCTTGGAGGCTGGGACCACTGGCCACACTGTACCAAGCTGGGTGATGGTCCTCTGCCATATTAGCTATGTTAATCAGAGACGCCCCACGCCACCACCCCACCTCACACATTCGCACCTGGTGCCGAGTTATTTTTTTTTAATTATAGTAGAATGTGTATGACATAAAATTTATCATAATCATTTTAAAATTTATTTTGTGTGAATATGTGTGTATGATTGTGGGTATTTGTGTGTGAAGGTCAGAGGATAGCTTTGGAGAGTTGTTGAGGCAGGGTCTGTGTTGTTGTTTCTGCTACACTGCCTGTCAGACTAATCAGCTCCTGAGCTTCAAGACAGTTCTCTTGTCTCCTCCCCATCTCACTGTAGGAATACTGGGAATACAGATGTTTACCTTTTTTATGTAGGTTCCAGGAGCAAACTGAGGTTAGCAGGCTTGTTTGGCAAGTGCCTTTACCTGCTGAATCATCTCACTGGCCCCCTGATAACTAATTCAAGTGTACAGTTCAGTGGTATAATACAGATCACGTTGTACAGCCAGATCTCCAGGTATCTTTATCCTCCAAACTGAAACTATACCCAGCAAATGACAACTTTTCCCAATCCTCCTACCCCACCCAGTTCCTGGTAACCACCGTTCTACTTCCTGTCTCTATGAATTTGACTACTCTAGGAAAAACCTTACACAAATGGAAGCTGTTATATTTGTCCCTTCATGACTGATTTCACTTAGCCTAAGTCTTTAAGATATCTATGTGGTAGCATGTGTCAGTACTTCTTTTTTTTTGAGAGTGTCATGTAGCCCAGGCTGGCCTCAAATGTGCTGTACTATAGTCAGTTATGATCTCAGACTTCTGGTCCTGTCTCTACCCCTTGAGTGCAAGGATTATAGGTGTGCATTATCACACCCAGTTTATTCCGTGCTGGGTATGAAACCCAGGACTTTGTGTTTCATGTATGCTAGGCAAGCACTGCCACCTGAGCCACACCCTCAGCCTGCTTCCTCCTTCTTTAATGCTGTATAGAATTCTAGCACATGTGTGTTGTGTGCTTGCCAGTCTTTATTGGTTCATCCACCATTGACCGCATGGGTTGCTTTCACCTGTTAGCCATTGTGAATCAATCCAAGATGACCATAGCTATTACTGTTTGAGTATCTCTTTTACATTCTAGGATATTTGGTTATGTCTATGTGGTCTTTGTTTTTTCTTTTTGAGATCGGATTTCATGTAGCCCCAGGCCAGTCTCAAAACTTTCTGTGTAGCTGAAAATGATCTGTAACTTCTCTTCCTCCTGCTTCTACCTCTCAGGTACTGTACAGGCATGTGCCATTACATCTAGTATTTTTTTTTTTTTTTAGTTCTAGGGATTGAACCCAGGGCTTTGTGCCTGCTAGGCAAGCATTATACCAGCTGAACTATATTCCCGTGCTATCACTTTAAAAAACATCAGTATGGAGGCTGGAGAGATGGCTCAGCAGTTAAGAGCACTCACTGCTCTGGCAGAAGACCCAGTTTTGAATTCCAGCACCAAGGCAGCTAACAACCATCCATAACTCCAGTTCTGGGGGATTCAGTGCCCTCTTCTGGCCTCTTCGGACATTGCATGACATGGATGCACTTAACATACATGCAGGCAATACACTTATACACATAAAAACAAATTTTTAAAAAATCAATCTGCTTTTCCCTGGTAGCTCATATTTTATTTTGATAAAGAAAAGGCCAAGAACCTGCTGTCTGTCCTGTGTGAGATCTTGGATGGTACAGTCCACTGCACTTGGAATGTAGAGGAGAGCAGTAGGTGAAGATGAAAGAAAAAAGGCACCTCCTGGCATTTCAGAGGAGACTTGATTCATGTTCTCTGGGTCAGCAAGGTTGTGTGCCAGGGCAGGATGGTGACTGAAGGGCTGTACCAGAAGGCACTGCCTCTGTGCCTCTGTACAATGCTTTTTGACATGTACTAAAACCTGAACCAAGGCATGGTGTGGAGATATTTTGACCCAGTCTTGTGGAAACTGTTCTCAATACAGGATTTCACAAGAGCTTCCTTTGTCTTTATGCTAATTTTTCCCAGGCACAATTTGGAACCTGAAGGACATCATTCCATCCAAAAGTCAGGCAGAAATCATAAATGCCATACTGAAGGTTTTATCTGAAGTTTTGGAGGTGAATGCTGCTGAAATGGTTATTCAGATGAAGGAGGCTGAAACTCAGCGCTTGAAGACTACTGCAGAGACTGAGGAAACACTAGAGAAGGCCAATGGCAGGGATTTGGTTGAAGATGATGAAATGGAAGAGATTCCGCGTAAAAGAAAAGTCAGAAGGAAAACTTTCATTTCCGATTTACTTCCAGTGAGTCAGATTGATTGGTTTTCAACACAGATTCAGAACAGCTGTTTTCCTTCAGCAGATGTCTTTAGCATTATAGAAAAATACAGCAGCAAAATGTAATTCTTACTATAACATTAGATATGTACTCCTAAAGAGGGAAAAAGCAGCCTTTTGTCTAAAGTGAAACTTTTATGTATAAGGGGAAGATTTCAGTGGAAACAGACTAATCCTTTTATAGAACACTTAGAAATACCAGCCTGTCTCCTTGACTCTGTCTCACTTCAGCTACCCATTGTCTCCCAGGCTGTCTTCAAACTGCGAATGTTATACTTTGTTCCAATTGTCACTTGAATTCTTACCTTTTTTTAACCTTATTTGTCCTTCCCAGAGCAATAAGCCAAACCTTTATTTCCCCAATACTGCTGAGCAGAAGAGATGAGGGGATGAGGTGTGCTTTATGCTAGTGTGATATTGCAGTAGTGCACAGTTGTGGGTTTGGGGATCATCTCAGCCCAGGCAGTCAGCAGGAGATGGATCCAGACTTTGGGAGAATGTTTTCCCCAAGGAGGCAAGAAAGTAGGAAGCAGAGAAGACAGGTTGGGAATGTGAACACTTCTGCATTCAAGTGTGTCCAATACTGTTCTAGCTACCACTGAGAGATTATTCAGGCGTATCTCCGGTATTCAGGGAACTCTTCATCTTAGGAAGACGAGTGAACCTTGGTTGTAAGCCCTGTGCTAAGAACACAGGTTAGTAAGGTTGTGTTCAGATTCCCAAGAGAGTAGTTTCTGTGAACTTGGCATATGTGATTCACTGCAGCTGGGAGAGCAAAGGAAGGGTCTGTTGGAGAAAGCTTTTTTGACAGTGCCACATGAGCTGTCTGATGGTGAGATAAGAGGATGGTCAAGGCAGGGGAGTGTTGAGAGAGCTCACGCACTTGCTAAGCTAGTTGGAGGGAGAATCCAAGGGTCTAAAGGCAGGAGGAGCCGAAGGCTGCTGGGGAAAACAGGAAACCTGGGCTGGGAGAATACCGTTCACATCCTTTCACGTGACAGTGCCAGGGTGGCTTGTCCTGATTCACAGGAATGAAATTGAGAATTGTCTTAAGTTGACATCTTGCAGTTATGATTAATTTGTCTCCACTTAGAGTTCTTTAAATGTAATATAGCTGAGGGTAACTGTGCTTTCTTACAGGGTGGTTTTCTGGTTTCTTTATGTTGTTTTTGGGTTTTGGTATTTAAAGACAGTTTTGCTGGGCATGGTGGCACATGGGAGGCAGAGGCTGATTTCTGTTCCAGGCCCGCCAAGTCTACATAGGAAGATCCTATCTTTAAAAGAAAAAAAAAAAAAAGTCTTGCTATATTGCCCAAGCAGTCCTTCCGTTTGAGCTGTCCAAATGTAGGACTCAAGTGTGCACCACCATGTCCAACTCGTGCATTCTTGAAGACATGAAACAGAATTTTATTTAAAAATTTAGTGTCTGTGTACACACACACACACACGTACACACATACACATACACACATATATATGTGCCATGGTAATGTATAGAGGTCAGAGGACAACCTGAGGAAGTTGGTTCTCTTCTTTCACCTTGTGGGACCCAGGGATCTGATTCAGGTCATCAGGCTTGGCAGCAGGCACCGCTAAGCCATCTTGCCAGCCTGCATAATTTAATCTTAATGCTTTAAAGAAATCAAGTTTTTATGGATACTTATATATGAATAACCACAGCATTTGTTAAATGCTAGAATCCATAGAAAGGTGAGGCGGCCACCCATCCTTGAATTACTTACAAACCAGAAAGTGGCTTAAAAATCACTATACCTCCTCTTTTGACCACGAGGCATGCATTAGAACCTCAGATTTAACCCTTGACTCACTCTGCTTCTGTCTCAGCATATGAGAATTTAAAATCAGTGAAGTCAGATTGAGGCATAGCCACACAACTTGTCCAAAGGAGGCATTTTTGAGGAGCCCTAGTGGTGTAGGGGTATCAGATGGTTGCATGCCAGACACAGATGTGTTTGGTTCCATCACCTGTGGATGGTCAGGTGCAATATGTGGGTGCTTTCAGGCTCTTTCAGCTGGTGGTATGGTACTGCTGGTACCTTAACTTGTTCAGGTGTACTGTTTTAGTACTCTACCTGCCCATCATATTAGGATGTTGTTTTGAGACAGTCTTGCTATGTAACCCAGGTGGGCTTCAGACTCTAGTTTTGCCTCAGGCGTGCTAGATTGTCCCATGCCTAGCTTCAGAAATAGAAACTGCTGTTAGGCTGTCAGGGAATTCTGAAGGATCCAAAATCCCTGCCGGGAGTCAGACAATGGCATTTATATGTGATTCTCGTTATCTACAGCCTTGCTTCTACGGGGTCCTAAAAGGAGTAAGGGTAGGAGAGATCCAGGGCTTCCAAGGTTATGGTAGAAGTGTTGTTATTATAAGACACTGGTAATTAACTTTGATGTACAACATTCTGAGGGCTGGGATTACAGATGTAAGCCTACATCTTACATCACATTAAGTATTGTTTTAAAAATAGAGGGTTTATGGACTGGGAGATGGTTCAGTGGGTAAGAGTGCTTTGCAAGCATGAGGACTTGAGTTCAGATCCTTAGCACCATGTAAAATTTCAGGAATGGCTGCCTCTGCCTGTAACCCCCGCATCATGGGTATAAACAAATAGAGCTCACTGACTGAGCCAGCCTAGCCAAAACAGCAAGTTTCTGGTTCACTGAGAGATGCTGTCTCAGTGCAGTACGGTGGAGAGTAAATAGAGGAAGCCTCCTTTGTCCCACGTGTGTGCCTGCACGACATACACACACACACAAAATCTACACATAGAGGGCCTGAGGGTATAGCTTAGTGGTAGAGTATATATTTACTATGTTTAAGCCCCTGGGTTCAATCTGGGCACAAAAGAGAGGGAGAGAAAAAAAAAATTGTGCTCATAAAATACAGTGTTTTCTCATAGCAAAAACTTGCTTAAAAAGTCTTAACTCAGTAGCCTGGGTAATTAACATGCAAGTCCAACAGTCAGCCAGTGTGGCACTGCCAGTAGAGTGCTAGGCATCATGTTCACATGGGCAAGGAATACAGACTCAGTCAACTCAAGTCTTTCATGCTGCCTGGTGGCTTCTGCTAGAGTCCTGTAGATCTAAAATAAAACCTCTAATTGCAGCATTTCACTTAAGAAGGCGTAACAGGAATAAGAAGGAGCACTGTAGTCCATGTTTGTTTATTTTTTTAACACAGGCAGAAGCAACCTCCCCAGCTCCCACTGTTATCATCTGTCCAGCTTGCTCTGTTATATTAAATCTTTCCCAGCAGTTGCCCCTCCTACTCCTGGTTACTTTGAAGCAAATTCCAGATGCCATAACATCTCATCTCCATTGATTTCTTTGTCAGCTTGATAACAGCAAGAAGCAGAGGAATGCTTTGAGCCACAGTTACTCAACAGGGACCTAATTTCACTTTCTCCTGAGCCAGATCTGTGTACATTTTAGAGGTGAGAATCCAGCAGCAAGTCAATATAGAAGCCAAGTACAGATGCAGTTTTTTCCTCAGATCTTTTTGATCTAATTTGGTTAGCTGGTCACAGTGGAGTGTTAAATCCTGGAATTTGAGAACCCCTCCCCCTAGGCAATATAGTGAGGGTTTTAAAAATATTTTTAAAATTTTAAAAAAATTTATTATTTTTATTTAAACTGGAGTTACAGATGGTTCTTAGCCACCATGTAGGTGCTTGAAATCGAATCCCGGTCCTCTGCAAGAGCAGTCAGTGCTCTTAACCACTGAGCCATCTCTCTAGCCCATAATGAGGTTGTTTGCTATGTAGACCAGGCCCCACCTCGAACTCACAGAGCTCTGTCTGCCTCTGCTTCCTGAGTGCTGGGATTAAAGATGTGCACTTTTTTTTTTTTTTTTTTTTTTTTTGAGACGGTCTCCCTGTAGCCCCAGCTGTCCTGGAACTTACTAATATAGACCAGGCTGTCCTTGAACTCACAAAGATCTGCCTGCCTCTGCCTCCCAAGTGCTAGGATTAAAGGCACGTGTCACCACACCCAGCTGGTGTGCACTTTTTAAAAAGAAAAAAGATGGGAGTTTGTTAACTCTTTGGGTACAAAACCTCCAGGTATGGGAAATTGCTGTAGTCTTATTGCACATAAATGGAATGCTTAGTCAATTATAGTAGATCCATTTAGTGAAATATTATATAACCATGGAAAAAACAATTAGATGCTGTTGACATTTGGAAATGAGCAATAAAGTGCGTACTATTTTTGAGGCTACTTCACTGCTTTGGAATATCTGTAATTGATTCACGTTTCATAGGTTTTTAAGGCTTGTGAGGATGTGGAGGCGCACACCTGTAATAGTCCAGCCTGGTCCACATAGTGACTTTCAGGTGGGTTGGAACCAGGGAGACCTTGTCACAAAGGAAACAAAGGAAAAAAAAAAAAAAAAAAGAATTAAGGCTGCAGAACTCCGCAGACCTTCCGGACCAGCCACAGTCATGCAGAGACTGGCTTTCACAGAGGTGTAGGTGGTTATAAATTTTCTTCACAAGAGGAACTTCAGAATGCACTACAGCAAGAAAGTCATACTATTGATGGAGTAAAGAAAAAACCTGAACATGAAGAATTGGCTGAGCACAAGGCATGTGCCTATAATCCCAGCACTCAGAAGACAAAGACGGAAGACCACCTGAGCTGGAGTAACTCTGTCCTGGAAACCATAGAGAGGATGTGACTGAAACTTGAGAAGTCCCTGGACACTTACAATGAACACTGGACTGAACAGCTTCCTCTCTTCTTCACGTCTCTATCCAGCAAAACGTTATTAACTACAAGACAGTGGCCTTCAATGGTATCCCACTCCTGAGGATCTTTCCTGTTATACAAGAACTCTGCCTTTCTTAAACTCTTAAGCACCCTATAATAAAACATTTCTTTCTAAAACCCCAAAAAAAGGCTTATAAATTTAAACTACTCAAAGAAATGTTAATTTATGAAGTTAAGTTGATATTCTTTGTTTTCAGAGAAAATTTTCCCTTTTAAAAATATTTTAGAAAGATTTTATTTTTTTTAATGTGGAGGTGTGGTAGGGGTGCCCACAGAAGTAGGAAGAGTCAGATCCCTTGGAACTAGAGTTGCATATAGTTGTGAGCTGTCCCACATGGGTGCTAGGAATTGATGTTGGGTCCTCTGCACAAGCAGCAAGAGCTCTTAACCACCTAAGCTGTCTCTTCAGCTTTTTTTTTTTTTTTTTTTTTTTTAACTTTAAAGGGGTACTTTATTTTTCAAAGAAAGCCAGGAATCAAGGCTGTCTGGCGTTAGCTGAGCCCTGTTGGTCATGAGGCTTGTTAGTATACTGTGTTTGTGATGTTTGTTTTTGAGATAGGATGTCACTATGTAGCCCAGGCTGGCCAAAAACTCAGTACATAGACCAGGCTGTCCTCACACTTGAAGTAATCCTGTCTTTGCCTTCTAAGTGCTGGGATTAGAAGCATGTGCCAGCACACCCTGCCACTATTATTTGTTAATATCATCTTTCCAAGAAGACCGCTAAGCATGTCTGAAATGAGCTTTTTGTTCAATCTTAGTGTGCTGAGCGACTTAACACAAAGTTTCAGGGTGAATTCAGTTCAGAATTCCTGAATGTCTGTCTGTTCTCTCTAACTAAGTAAGACTCAGAATAGCCATGGGATAGATGGAGCACAGTTAACAGTGGCTTGCTCTGCCATGCCAAGCAAGATCACAATGCTCATTTGTATTCTAGCACTTGTGGCTTTTCTTCTACCTACTCCAGCCCCCATGTACTCATTCCAAGTACGGAAATTGTCCAGTAGGCTTTAACCAAGGAAATTTCATGCAAAAAATACTTTCTTTGTTTTTTTTAGTCCACTGACAAGGAGTTGCGAGAGACCATGGCCTTGCTGACAGCTCAGCAGACTGCCCTGGAAATTATTGTCAACATGTGCTGGAGCGAAGGTTTGCTACTAGCTTACACTGGATGTTTTCCCTGCACAGAGGACAGCTTCCATGGGAGTTTTCTCTGATATCCCAGTTATATATGCTGTGCACTCTTCCCAGATCCCTCCGATGATGAGTGGGAAGAGCTGTCTAGTAGTGATGAAAGCGAGGCCTTCATGGAGAATGTCTTCAATGAGTGCAGTGGGCAGCTGCTGTCTCCACTCTGCCTGTCCCATGAGATTCACACTGCTCTCACCAACTGCCTCATTCCGAAGAAGGTAATCTTGTTCCATCCTGGATTCATTGTGGGCCATGGGGAAAGGCTTGGGCAAAAGAAGCAATCACATTTCCAGGTTGCAGGTGATGGTGACCCCTGGGTCATAAATTACAACTAGCAGGACTAGAACTACACAAATGATTCTGTCCTGATCATACCTAACCAGTTAACTTGGAAATAATATGTTGGAGTTTTATAGAGAAATCCTGTTTAAGATGACTCCTCTTTTACCTTTTCTTACCTCCCTTTAAATCCTAGGTTTTTGAAAAAACTGCCTTTCCAGACAGTGTTGCAGTTGACATATGTTCTAGGAACCCTGCTTGGAAACCTTTGATTAGGAAGTAAGAACATTTCTGTTTTCAGAAGCATTTATCATTTTGTCATTATGTGAAATTTTGGATCATTAAATAGAAAATGCTGACACTCCTCCCAAGACCCTCCTGGGTATATGCCTTGGAGAAGCAGGTTGCCCCCAGGTGCTGGGGCACCTGCCTGAGAATGTTCACAGCGGCACGGATCATGGTTGCCCCAACTTGGAAACAACCTTGATGTCTATCACAGGTAGAATGGATAATAAGGTAGTATAGAGCAGAACACATACTGCAGTAAAGAAGGATCTGAACTACAACTGCCTACAACATGAGTAGAACTTACCACGTTGAGCAAAATAAGTAAGACAAAAGAATATATACCTTGTGGCAAGAGAGTTGGCTCAGCCGTTTAAAGCCTTACCACTCTTGCAGCAGAGGACCTAGGCTCCCAGCACCCACGTGGTGGCTCCTGTGCTCTCTTCAGGTCTTCTTGGTACATATATACCAAAAAATAATAAAAATAAATCTTTTTTAAAATTATATATGCGTATATATACTGTGATCTAGTTTTTACAAAGATAAAAACTATGCAGCACTAAGCAATTGAGGGATGCATGTTCAAGTAACAACCCCATAAAGAAAAACGAGGGAACCCATGCCAGGTGCTGTAAACTGTAATCCTAGGTACTCAGGGACTAAAGTGTGAGGATTGTAAGTTCAAGGCCTGCTTGGGCAACTTAATAAGAACCTGTATTATTATTATTAGTCTTCTTGAGACAGGGTCTCCCTATAGCCCCAGCTGTCCTGGAACTTGCTATGTAGACCAGGCTGGCCTCGAACTCAACAAAGATCTGCCTGTCTCTACCTCCCAAGTGCTGGGATTAAAGGTGTGCACTACCACATCTGGCATAAGAACCTGTATTTTAAAAAATTTTAAATATTTTTATTTTATGTGTATGAGTATATTGCCTGCATGTAGGTAAGTGCATCTGTGTCGTGCAATGCCCACCGGAGGACAGAAAAGGCCATCAGATCCCCTGGAACTGAAGTTACAGACAGTTGTTAGCTGCCATGTGGGTGCTGGGATTCGAACCCAGGTCTTCTGCAAGAACAAACAGTGTTCTTAACTGCTGAGCCATCTCTCCAGCCCCTGTATTAAAATTTTTTTTAAAAAAAAAAAAAAAAAAAAAGGCTGAGGATATAGCTCATTTTTGAAAATTTTTAAATATTTGCTATATTTATGTGTATGACTGTATTGCCTGCATGTAAGTACAGCCATATCCTGCAATGCCCAAAGAGGCCATAAGAGGGTGTCAGAGATCCCCTGGAACTGGAATTAGGGATGGTTGTTAGCTGCCATGTGGGTACTGGGATTTGAACCCGGGACCTCTGTAGGAACAGCCAGTGCTCTTAACCACTGAGTATCTCTCTAGCCCCCATACAGTTCATTATAAAGTGTTTGCCTAGCGTGGATGTGGCCCTAGTCTCATTCCCCAGGACAGCAGAAAATAAAAGTGAGGAAAGCAGGGAGCTTGCACTATAGATTTGGATAGAGATGACCCATAGGGTTCATGGAGGTCAAGTGTGGTCAGGGGGATGCATGGGCTGCAAGGCTGCCAGCGGTGCTTATTTCTTACCCAGGTGTGTGTGTGTGCATCTACATGCATGTTCTATAAACTGTTAAACTATTTGTATGTTGTCTCTTTTACTGTATGTATATAGTTCATAATAAATTTTAAAGATGCTACCTTTCATACAAGTACTTCTAAGGCAGATTCCTCATGACTCACAAATGAATTGGAGCCTTTGAGTGCTTGGGCAGTTTGGCAGATTAACAGTTCACATTCTTCTTTGTAACCTGCCTCAGACCCCCTTGTACTTACAGGTAATCTAAACCTTAGATTAAAAGTTAGACTTAGCTGGGCATGGGGACTCATAATCTCAGTACTCAGGAGGACCACAAACTTGAAGCCAACCTAGGCTATTTAGGGAGTTCCAGGTTAGGCTTAGCTATAAAGCAAGGTGCTATGTCCAAAAAAAAAAAAGGCAGTAAACAGCCCCTAACCCACTGAATTCTAGTGTATCGGCTTTCGAGAAACAGCATTGTTTACTTCCCTTGCAGAATGAACACTATTCAGTGTAGAGCCCTCGTGTGTCTCCAGAGTCTTGTGTCTCTCCTGGACATGGAACATCTGGGAGGAGCCCCAGCTCTTCAGGCCCTTGCACAGCACCTGTCACAACTTCTTTTTTCTCAGTCAGGTAAATATTTAAGCCTTACTGTAAAAGATTACTTTGGCAGAGCAGAATTGTGAAGGACTTAACTCCAGGGCTGCTTAAAGGTTGGGTGAATGTTCTTCCAACAGGCTTTCATAGTTTGTTATTAGAAGAATCTCATTGAACTTGAGCACATCAAATTATAGGGCTTCAAACAACCTATGCATACTAGAGCACAGAGGAGGCTGGTCAGGATGTGGAGGCTCTGTAGTGAGTAGCTAGGTATTCACTCCTCTGCCACCACCCTCCTTAGGAACCTAGAAGGGAACTGGGTGCAGTGTGGCCCTTCCCCAGCCTGTGTTGGCATCCCATCTCCCTTCTGTTCATCCTAGGGGTGGTGTGGAGGAGCCCACACTGCTCATAACCCAAAGCAGTCTACCTCTTCCCATGATCTGAGGCAGGGAGCAAGGTCCCAGGTGAGCAGGACCTACATCTCTTCTTACTGTTCCCAAGCCCTTTTTGTTAGTTTGATGATATCCTATTCAGGATATTTTCTACATCAGACTCTTGAAAACCGACCTGAAAAATTCACCAAAGTATCCTTTGCCACTTGATGACTTGAAGGTTTTTTGCCTGTATTCAAGGCATCCTACAAATTCTTAGATATTATGAACATTCTCGAAGAGAAAACATTTCTTTTTCCCACTTCAAGAATGGAACCCAGGACCTAGTGTGGTAAGTAGCTACTTCACCACTGAGCCACTACACCAGCCCAGAAAGACGTTTTGAATCACCTCCCTTCACAACTTTTTTTGACATTTGCTTAATTTCTGTGACAGTGCCATATCTGCTAAACCTTTACCAAAAATTTAAAAGGATTGCATAATGTTCCTTCCCAAAATTTGGATAAATGATCAGTTAAATAAAAAATTCCCAATTATTTCCCTTAATCTAGATAAAATGTGAATTACATGTAATATAAAATGATGCATAGTTTAGCATTTTTGTTTGTTGTTTGTTTTGCTTTTGAGACAGCTTTCCTGTAACACCAACTGGTCTGGAACTTGCTGTGTAGACCAGGCTGACCTTGATTTCACTGTCCTCCACCTGCCTCTGCCTCCTGAGTAACAGGAATTAAAGGCATGTATACCATACCTGGCATAGTTTAGCTTTTTGAATCAAAGGTAATTTTCTTGTTACTTTCTTGAGCATGAAAGATAAAAATTGAATCTGAGGTCGCTTTATCAATTCTATTTAGGTTTTTTTTGTTTTTGTTTTGTCTTTTTGAAGCAGGGTCTCCCTGTAGCCCCAGCTGTCCTGGAACTCACTATGTAGACCAGGCTGACCTTGAACTCACAGAGATCTGCCTGCCTCTGCCTCCCAAGTGCTGGGACTACAGGCATGCGCCACCATGCCTGGCTCTGTTTAGGTTTTTTGTTTTGTTTTGTTTTGTTTTTTAATGTTGCTGAATTATTATTATAATTTTTTTTTTTTTGTCTTTTTTTGAGACAGGGGCTCCCTGTAGCCCCAGCTGTCCTGGAACTCCCTAT